CCCGAAATAGGCAAGATAACTCCATCCCCACCCCATAATTTTTCTCTCGACCATAGATGCCACAAAATCTTATCTCAGCACATCTGATGAATTGCTACGATTACAGGGAAGGTCTTGAATGGGCAGTTATGTATGTATATATTCATATGCCTGTATATAAATAAGTTTACCATTCAGATTAATCTCTTTTACTGAGATTCTGCGTTGTCTGTCATCGGTTAATAATTTGTTCAACTAAATTTTCAAAACGTGTTTTTAAAAAGAATAGATGATTTAGTATTTTACAATAATGACACTTTAAAAAATATATTTATATATTTATAAGAATCCAACTAAATTAGAAAATGTTTCTATTGATTTCCTTTAATAACAAACTGAATGATGCATCATCACCCTGCACAAGCTAAACGAATATCTATGTTACAATTCAAAAGTAAATGCACATTTCTCTTAAGGGGGGTTCTCTTACATGAGTTGCTTGTCCAGGGAAAGAGGAAAATAATTTCACCATGTTGTTTTTGTTGTTTGCAGATGGTACAACCTATGAGCTCAGGTGAGTGGATGTTAATATTGACTCAGCTTGAGGTGGGGACCTTCTGAGACAGCGAGATGTGTCAGCAAATACTGGCCAATACTTAATCGCCACCAGGGCATGAAACAGGATCAGAACAGGATCATCATTCGGCAGCTTAATCGCAGTGTTCTGGAAGACAGAGATTGTGTGAGTGCGTGTCCATTGCCCCATCATGTGTAAGTGGGTCACACACTATGATCTGTCATCTCAACCCCACATACAACATAACATGATACCCCTTGATACAAATAACAGCAGCTCCAGTAACCCCCAAATTAAGTCCACACCAAACATACATACATACATAAACTGAGGCCGCAGTGGGTGAGTTTTTACACATGCTATTCCTGAATCACTGTCTGCCCTCTATAATGTGATCATGAAGTTTGCCTGCTAAATGTCTAAAATACATAATGACCTGAATGATTCATGAGGTTTTTGTTTTAATCATGAATTTGGTAGATGCAGAAACACATAACCCCATGCTAGTAATTGCATGAAAGCAAAACTAACTGGCCTTTTTTTTTATTTTTTTAGCTGGTTATAACACGAACCATGAACTAAAAGATATACCTTTGCACGAATTTTATAACTTACCAGTCCAATGCTAAAATATTGTGAGTTCCTTTCAAAACATTGTGATAAATGTTTTAAACTTTACATACATTTGGTGTAGCTGCTAGTTTAAACCAGTGGTTCTCAGCTGGTAGGTCAGGACCAAAAAATGGCTCACAAGTCTATAAAAATTGATAAATACAAATAATAGGGTAAAATTGATCAACTATTTCATTGTGAGAGTTAGGATAGGAAAATTAATTTGCTTATCAACTTCACAAAAAAAGGGCAAAATGCTTTCTATATCTTTTGATAATGACATCCTTGAAAAAGCATTGTTGAGACCACACAGAAAAAAAAATTATGCAGTCTTTTCACTTTTGCTTTTGTTTATGTTGGTTATTAACAAAATTGTCAGCTTTTATTCAGCTATGTAATGTTGAAATGGATGGGAGACCTCCTGGGAAAACTAGGTTGCTGCATGCTGGAAGAGGTATTAGTGAAACCAGCAGGGGTTCCTCACCCTGTGGTCTGTGTGGGTCCTAATGCCCCAGTATAGTGACAGGGACACTATACTGTCAAAAAGCACGGTCCTTCAGATGAGACGTTAAACCGAGGTCCTGACTCTCTGTGGTCATTAAAAATCCGAGGATGTCCTTCGAAAAAGAGTAGGGGCATCCCAACCAAATTCGCCCATTGGCCTCTGTCCATCATCATGGCCTCCTAATCATCCCCATATACTGATTGTCTCCTCTCACCAATAAGCTGGTGTGTGGTGGGTGTTCTGGCGCAATATGGCTGCCGTCGCATCATCCAGGTGCATGCTGCACATTGGTGGTGGTTGAAGAGATTCCCTCCTTCCATTTAAAACGCTTTGTGTTCCTGAGAAACCTGATGAAAGTGCAGTAGTTATTGGCGATTCTATTGTACGGAACGTGAAACTTGGCAAATTTAAAAGTGCTGGCTAATGCTAAACGTAAATTCAGTAAGATTGTTATTCACACCGGCGCTAATGATGTTCGACTGCAAGTACGATGTAAGACACTGTAATATGCTCTGGTCCCCTCCCTGTTTACTGCGGCGACGAGACACATAGCAGACTGTCGTCACTCAGTGGCTGGATGTCTAAGTGGTGCCCGCAGAATAGGTTTCATAGACAATTGGAGTTTTTGGGGCAGACCTGGACCTGTTGAAAAGAGATGTCTTCATCCCTCCTGGGGTGGTGCCGCTCTTCTCTCTAGAAATATGACACATAGTCTTAGAGTTTGCACTTGACTAACTCGGTCCCAGGTCAGGAAGCAGACAGACTGGCTAAACCGACCTTCAGCTAGCTGCCTCACGTCAAAGAAGTCAGTTAATTCTCAGCACATAGAGACTCTTTCACCTAGATATCATACTATAGGGCCTTTCGCACCGCTTTAGTTCCAGAACTAAATGTACAGTACTAAAGTACTGGGACGATTTTGCGCGAACTATTTCCCAGTACCATTTAAACGGTTGCATTCGCACCGACAGTGTGTATTAAGAAGTGACGTAAGCCGGTCGACAGCGACATCATTTGTGCGCGGACTTCAACAACAGAAACAAAGAAGAACAACATTAACAACAGGAGGATGGAGGACGCTGTGATCGGAGCTGTTTTTGTTGTGTCTCGCGGGTTTTCCAAACCAATTTAAGAGTAACAATTTAATTGATGTTCAACAAATAAAAAACAGATGTAAAACAGAGAAACAAATTCTAAAGCTTGGCTTATTGAATATCAGGTCCCTTTCTACGAAAGCGCTTTTTGTAAATGATATGATCACTGATCATAGATGTGCTCTGTTTGACAGAAACCTGGCTAAAACTAGATGATTACATTATTTTAAATGAGTCTACCCCACAAGATTACTGTTATAAACATGAGCCACGTCCAAAAGGTAAAGGGGGAGGTGTTGCTTCAATTTATAACAATATTTTCAGTATTTCTCAAAGGGCGGGCTTCAAGTATAACTCATTTGAAGTAATGGTGCTTCATATAACATTATCCAAAGAAACAAGTGTTAATGATAAATTCTCTGTTATGTTTGTACTGGCTACTGTATTCAGGCCACCAGGGCACCATACAGACTTTATTAAAGAATTTGCTGATTGAGTTAGTGCTGGCTGCAGATAAAGTCTTAATTGTTGGTGATTTTAATATCCATGTTGATAATGATAAAAATGCATCGGGATCAGCATTTCTAGACATTCTGAGCTCTATTGGGGTTAGACAACACGTGTCAGGTCCAATTCATTGTCGAAATCATACTCTAGATTTAATACTGTCAAATGGAATTGATGTTAACGGTGTTAAAATTCTGCAGCAAAGCTATGACATCTCAGATAATTATCTAGTCTTGTGTAAACTCCATATAGCTAAAACTGTAAATTCTACTCCTTGTTACAAGTATGGTAGAACCATCACTTCAACCACAAAAGACTGCTTTGCAAGTAATCTTCCTGATTGATCTCAATTCCTCAGCATATCTAATTGCTCAGAAAAACTTGATGATGTAACAGAAACTATGGACTCTAGCCTACGAGTACAGTATAACGGCTGACAGAAAAGGAAAAAAAAAAGTTTTTACTGACATGGCCTGACAACATCTCATCTGACCGCAGTTCACTGTTGTTCTACTGAAGCTCCTCATCACCTTTACCTTTTCCGCGCTCGTTTGACTGCTGAGGCAAAGTTGGAGTGCGCGTATAATCTCCCATTTGATGTAGTCATAAAGACATTCTGCATCTAAATAAACACAATTCTTGTCATGAAAAAAGGAGAGAAGGGTCTGGCTGCAGCCTGCACGTGCACTCTCAGACGTGCATTCTTAGGCTTGCACTCTCAGACACTTGCAAGAATGCACGTCTGAGAGTGCAAGCCTGAGAATGCACGTCTGAGAGTGCAAGTGCAGGCTGCAGCCAGACCCTCTTGAAAAAAGAGACAGAAGTCGCAGTGAGTGGGGTGGCCAACCCTAGCTCCGTCCCTGCATTAATTGCGTTAAATATTTTTAATGTGTTAAACTGAAAAAAAAAATGTAATCGCATGCGTTAAAGCATTACATTTTGACAGCACTTATTCAAATATAACTTCCACTCAAATATATCTTCCAGTGAGACGACAGTTCTCTCTGGTGACTTATGCCAGGCTTATTCTGTTCTACACTTGCCTGCAAACTCGCATTTGGTTCTGCCAGTTGACAACTAATGACCCCACTCTAAATTTTATTTCTTTGATGATAATCAGTTAAATTCAGATACCCAATACAGAAGAAAAGACCTGTCTCTACTTCCACATCATCACAAGTTTAGAAACCAAAAACATATTTTGGCATTTTGCTGGACTATGGTTTTATGGTTATATTTATCAAAGTCTGAATTAAATAAAATGTTTGTTTACTTCTGTAAAATAAACTATTTAGGAACTTTCTTGTTTCACTGCTTGATGTCCAATGGACAGTTTGACCCAGAAGCAAAACAACAATAGGTTGTACTCGTTTGGGGCGTCCAAAACCTTTAATGAAACAGGTCTGGAAAATCATTAAGCTTGTCAAAAGGGGGCAGAGCTATTTTAACTTCCTGCTCTTGACAAAAAGGAATCAGAGAAAGCCAGTAGTTATTCTGAAGTTTTTATTTATTTATTTATTTATTTTTAACAATGAGGCTAGTGGTTTTTAGTTGTGTTGGATTGTTGTTGCTTATTGCAGTTGACTTGAGTTTGGCACAGTGGTCAAGATTTCAACAAGGCCAGGATCCACTAAGATTCCAACAGCAACAGTCGCCAGTTTTAGCTCCTCAGCAATCTGTTCAAGATCCACAGGCATCAACAACTTTTTGGCCACCAAGACCTGCAATGAGGCCTGCTGGGGTGGATGCACAGAAGCTTCAAGAACCTGGAAGTAGTCAGTCCAAACAGCTTATGCAGGCTCCTATGGTGGCTTTGACCTGGCATTTTCCTGGCCATAAGAACCCCAACAGCCAGATGTGCCTTTTGAGCAGCGTGTACCTATAGCTCCCCAGAGTGTTGCAGCACAATGTGGGGATAACTTTGTGCATGTGGAGGTTAAGAAGGACTTCTTTGGTAGTGGTCAACTGGTGAATCCTTCATTTCTCACTTTAGGAGGCTGTGCAGCTGTAATAGTGCCAGTATTCAAGGTAGTAAACTACTTTGTCTAAGAAGTTTGACCAAAACTGACACTTAATCCTCTTTTACTAATCCCAATAGGTTGCATAATGTAAGCAGCAATATCTTGTTGCCCGCTTGGGTTCCTTTTGCTACAACTAAAGTTGCAGAGGAAGTTCTGGTGTTCTCCTTGAGGCTCATGACTGGTAATATGTATTTAAGTGTTATAACTTTTATAAGTGACTAGGTAGTGTTGCCAATGTGACTTTCATTTCAGATGACTGGATGTTTGAGAGGCCATCCAATCAGTACTTCCTAGGGCAGTTCCTGAAGCTTGAAGCTTCTGTGAAACAGTACAACCATGTTCCTCTGCGCATCTTTGTGGATGGTTGTGTGGCTACTGCGGCCCCTGATGTGAACACCACCTCTCCAAGATATTCCTTTATTGATAGCCATGGGTTCGTAAAGAACCGCTCCTCAAACTCCCTGTTGCAAACAGAGCCTAAAAGATGTGGGGTTTTTTTGTTGTTTTTTTGGTTTTACTTTTCCTCTCCCCGCATTCTCTTCAGGTGCCTGGTAGATGCAAATCTTACAGGCTCCACTTCCAGTTTCATGCGTCGTATTCAGAGTGACAAGCTGCAGTTTCAGTTAGAGGCTTTCAGATTCCAGCAAGATGATAGTGTCAGACTCTGTTCAATGTTTTGTGTGTGTCTTGCTCCCCATGTGCCTTCCTATGCCCTTATTTGGTTAGTTTCCTGTTCCTGTCCTGATTAGTTAAGTTCATTTGTCCCAGGTGTTTCCCTTGCTGTTTCAATGCTCCCAGGTGTGTCTCGTCATCCCCTCCTCCTGTGTGTATAAATAGTGTTCCCTGTGTGTGCTCCAGCGTCCGGTATTGTATGTTAATGAATGTGAATGTCTGCTGAACTCTACCGCTGTTACTACGTGTGTTTTCCTGGTTCCCTTGAAGTTATTAAAATCCCATCATTAATGTACTCCTCGTCTCTCTCC